ATAGACAACACAATGCATCTCATAACTAGAGTCGTGATCCAATCCGTCGTCCAAATTTCCATTCCTGTAATCATCACATTCATTGCACTGTTTAACCGAATGCCTGTTCAAACATCCAAGTTTTTAATCTTCTTCGGAACACCATTAGCGAGGGGGCTGATCTTACCGCCATAGGAAGGGCGTTCCACAGCCGGGGGGCCACCACAGAAAAGGCCCTGTCTCTCGTCCCCGCCAGCCGCACCTGTGAAGCAGGCAGGATAGAGAGCAGGGCCTCCCAGGAAGATCTTAGGGTCCTGGCGGGCTGATAGGCAGAGATACGTTCGGATAGGTAACTTGGGCCAGAACCGTTTAGGGCTTTATAGGCTATATATATATGCTAGTGTGGACTCAGATAACCCAGTTCAAAGAAGATATTGTGGGATTTTCTGCCTTAATAATCTTGGATATAGGGCTGTGTGGAAGGGCCCTGCGTTATCTGAGCCCACACTAGCATAGATCCCCATTCAAAGCAAATATTGTGAGATTTCCTGCCTTGATATTCTGGGTTATATGGACGTGTAGAAGGGCCCTAAGGGCCATGTCCTCTTTCCACATTGCCTTCATTGTTCTGTGTGATGCTTTCATATAACCAAATTCAATTTATTATGCCATGGCCACATTATTTCTAGGTAGAACACCAATGTCTTCTAATTCAGTAAACTAAGAAAAGCGAATGTTTTCAATCTGATGTGAGAAATGATGTTGAGATTGGTCACTTTTTTTCTAAACAGAAGCAAACAGTTTGCTACCGGAACAATTCAAAGTGCCAGCTTTGGCCTATAAAGCCCTAAACGCTTCCGGCCCAGCTTATCTATCCGAACGTATCTCTCCCTATGAACCTTCTAGGAAATTGAGATCATCTGAGGAGGCCCTGCTCTCGATCCCGCCTGCCTCTCAGGTGTGCTTGGTGGGGACGAGAGACAGGGCCTTCTTGCTGGTGGCCCCTCGGCTGTGGAACTCCCTTCCCAGGGGTATTAGATTGGCCCCCTCCCTCCTGACCTTTAAAAAATGAGTGAAAACCTGGCTCTTTGAGCAAGCATTTGGAGCTGCAGTGTAACCAGTTAATACAAAATCGTAATACGAACATGGAATGGCTAAGACTATGTAAACGGATGAGGAATTTGGATTGGTAGACATTGGGGTTTTTTATTTATTTATTTTTATAGTTTTATAGTTCTTATGGATTTTATATACATTTATGCTGTGTTTTAATTAACTTTATTGATATATGTATTCTATATAGCATCTAATTGTTGCTGATATATACACCGCCCTGAGCCGCCTTCGGGCTGAAATAGGCAGGATAAAAATGTTGTAAATAAATAAATAAATAAACATTGTTTTCTGGTTATTTTACTTACTTATCAAATACATTATAAACTAACTGTTTTTTTCTCTTAATTTTTTGTTGTTTTCAGTGCAATAAGGTCTACCACTAAATTAGATAGGCAGACAGACAGACAGAGAGATACCTGGTGAGCAATGCTCAGAAATGACCACACACCTATACATATGCAAACCCCCAAATGAGGATATGCAAATCTGATAGAGGAAAGCAAATGTTTCATAAAACCAATGGCTGTTTAAATGGTGGGACTAAATTGTTTGTATATAAATATTACCTTTTATCTTCCATTTGAGTTTTATGTAGGATGAACACATTACTTTAATGACCTGCGTTTAGAGAGGAAGAGAGGGGCAGTCTCACTCCGAAATCCTCAGCAGCCAGATGGCTGCCTTGTCTTCCATGAGATTAAAAGATGTTTCTCATTCGCAGGCCTTGCTTCTGAAGCAAATTAATACAGCCAGCTAAATTGCCTGTGGTTTGCTCCTTGGGTGTATGGCTGTGGTTGTGTATGTGTGTGCATGTGTACACACGTGGAATAATATTTTAAAAGAACTTCTGAAAGCCATTTTTGTCACAGGTTCCATGAGCAGATTGCTCTCCAGGTACGGCATGCTGCTTTTAAACATTCGGTAATTAATGGAAAGTATTTCGCGTTAATTGACTGCTTCAGGAAAGGGAAGTATAATGGCTCCTTATTAATCATGGGAAGAGACGGACAGCACAGAGGCATCGCAATTATTGCACTAACGGTTGAGAAATGTTAATTAATGAAAAGAACAATGATGTAAGAAATTAGCTACATAACGCTTCCTGCTGGTACAGATTTGCACATTGAATGCATTTTTTTAAAGCATGGCAACCACTGGATGCTGCCTTAAATAGCAAAATATCTCTAACCTTTTCTAAAATGTCGCATATATTGGCTCATGAAGCACTAAGCTTGCAAAAGGCAAATATTGTGCTAAAGCATTTCTTAAGGAGAGCTGTTCAAGGACAGGGCCATGCATTATGTATATCTGGGCTAAGCTCTTTGGGAGGAATATCATGCTCTTAGAGTTCCCTTATTTATATCAAATGAAAATCTGACAAAATACAAAACTTTAACCTGCTTGCTCAAAGCTTGTAGAGAGGTAGTAATAGAGGAAAGCATTCCCCATAGAAGGTGCTGCTGCTGGCAAAGGCCCTGCAACAAAGGCAAGGGGAAGCTCAAGAGTGGAGTCTCGCCTGCAAACATTGATATGCTGGAAAGGCTCAGATAGAAAATCTCATTCACTAAGATACCATGGACCCAAACTGCTTAGGGTCTGAAGGATCAACACCAGCACCAAGAAACTAAGGCCCAATGCAGTTAAGCATGCTTCAAGACTGAATTAGATGAAACTAGAGTACTTTTTGTTGGGAATAACTGTCAGGTTTTACAATGTATTGTAATGTAATATAGCTGAGTCATGCACTGCTAATGGGCTTCTATTGGAAATGCTGAATCATGCATTAACTGTATATAGGGAATCATTTGGGGAAGGTGTTCTGGCCTGGTCCAGGTGATTGTGAATGATGTAATCCTGGGTCTAAGTTAAGTTAATGGGCTGGGAACCAATCAGAGATTGCTATGTGTAATTGTATAGAATTGTATATAAGGAAGTCATGTACAGTGTATATTTCTCCTTGTGCTGTGATGATGTTGTTCGTCGAAGGCTCTATGTAATTAAAAGAACCTGTCTGCTAAGACAAGATATAACTGTATGCTGTGGTAAGTTTGTAATATCATCTAGACTGGAGAAAAGACAATGATAAAACTGACAATGGCCGGGCATGTGCTCAAGTGTCTGTAAAAAGTTCCAGAGTGACTGCAGGCTGTGGGAGCAGTTGACTGAAAATACTGTGCAGGAAGAAGCTACAGGAAAGCGCTGAAGTTGTGCAACTGATCTGCTGCTGAATTGTGAAATTAATCTCAACAATAACAGATATAAAATGGGACAAAAATGAAGATATTTTATTTAACTACTTCACTACAGCAGCAGGAATAATGTAAGCAAATAAAATGTAAGACCAAGAAAATCCCCACAACAGAAGAATGGTTACTAAAGATTGTAGACATTATGAATGTGGATATTAAAACATTTCAACTGAAGAACTTCTAAGGTACCCCAAAGAAGAAAACAGACTGGACTTTATTTAAAGATTATTTGACACAAGAAGATATGAAAATGCTAATTTGAATGCACAAATTACTATTAAAAAAAACTGTAGATATTAAAGGAAGAGAAAGAGAGAAAAAAAAAGAAGAGAAAATCTTTTTTTTTATGTCAGGAGCGACTTGAGAAACTGCAAGTCACTTCTGGTGTGATGTTGGTGTGATGTTGCCCAGGGAACTGCAAGTCGCTTCTAGTGAATGCCCAGATGTTTTGGTGTTTTACCATCCTTATGGGAGGCTTCTCTCATGTCCCCGCATGGAGAGCTGGAGCTGGCAGAGGGAGCTCATCCTCACTGTCCCCAGATTCAAACCTGTGACTTGTCGGTCTTCAGTCCTGCCGGCACAAGGGTTTAACCCATTGCGCCACCAGGGGCTCCTATAACAACAGGATGAAAACAATTGGAAGTCAACGCAGCTTTCATTTTTATTATTGTTTTCTCTTTTATATATATATATATATATATATATATATATATACACTTTTTCTATTATTATTATTATTATTTTATATTATTGGTAATATCCTATATTGCTTTATCTTAATGTTTGTCTCCCTCCCTCTGCTCGCACTTCCCATCCCCAAGTTCCCTACCCCCTTTTCTCTCTGGTTCCATTTTGGACTTAAGGACATTGAAGGATGAGTAATAGACATTTATGAGCTTTATTCTACCCAAACTTTTTTCCTCCTTGTGATCCTGTCTTTCTTCCTAATGATGCTTAATTTTGACGTGAAATATGTGAAAATAAAAAAATAGTCCAATCAAATAAAAGAAGGAGAATCCCTTTTAAGAGCAAAAGAGTAAAAAATTGTAATTACTATATTGCCCTGACCATAATAATCCTGGTGAGCTATGCTAGCAGAACTGAGGGAAGGCCAAGGTAAGGACTTGGCAGAAAAATGCATACCCACAGCTGTGTTTCAACTAAAAATGGCTACTGGTTGACTGAGAATATTGCACACAGAGAGTTCCTTGCACAATTATTAAGGATATTAAGGTCTGGTAGCTTAGTCCTCCACACAATACACACAATGCAATGATAGATAAGTATTAAGTTTGCATTTCTTTGGTTTCAGTGGAAGACTAAGTTATATGTGTGCATTTACTGCTTGGCAAGTGAAATCAAATGGGACTTAAAAGCAGTTGTCCATGGCTAGATCATGCCTACTGACTTCTGCAAGGTTTGTTTTGCTACCATGGGGTGACTGTATTCCACCAACTGATCTAAGATTTCCATGCAATATTGTACATGTCATGCACCTAAGTGGTGGCCTGCTCCATCGGTTCTATGGGGAGTCCAGCTCCATTTGCTTTCCCTTAGCATGTTCCATTCCTTCTGCTCATGGGACTCCATAATTCTCCTCATTTGTCATTTCCTGCCTTGACAAATGCCTCTCTCAATGTTGAATTTCTTTCTCAGGTGGAACGTTCTCGGGTTGCAAGGTGCTCTCCTTAGCTACTTCATCGAGCCGGTGTATTTGCATAGCATTATTGTGGGAAGCCTCTCTCACACTGGTCACCTTTCACGGGTAATGAGCCATAGACTAGAAGATGTTGGTCCACTGCCAGCCTCATATCGGCGGAATCAGCTGCTCCTAAGCGGTAAGCACATACTTGCTCAGAAATATAAACTCACTGCCAGCCCTTGCTAGTGTTCCTGTGTTCCTGCATAAACCTAATAAAATGCCTGTCTTCCTTCTTGTTTGAACTGGACAGTACTGGAGATTATGCATCCCACTTCAGTAAATTAAATAAATTCTTGCTCAATGCTGTACATAACTTTACATCTAGATGGCTTCAACTTATTAGAGAGGGGAGGCACATGGAGTCCATTCCACCCTAGACATAAGACCTTATCCCACACCTTCCTTCCCATGTTAAAATATTTCTAATCCACTGATGGTACGATTTATAGAATCATAGATTAAAATTATAGAATCATAGAGCTGTAAGAGATCTTGGGGGCCGTCAAGTCCAACCCCCTGCCAAGAAGCAGGAAAATCTCATTCAAGGCACCCCAACAGATGGCCATCCAGCCTCGATTTAAAAGCCTCCACCACACTCCGGGGCAGAGAGTTCACTGCTGAACGGATCTTACTATAGTTTGAAGCCATTGTTCCGCGTCCTAGTCTACAGGGCAGCAGAAAACAAGCTTTCTCCCTCCTCCCTATGACTTCCCCTCACATATGTATACATGGCCATCATGTCTCCTCTCAGCCTTTTCTTCTGCAGGCTAAACATGCCCTGCTCTTGAAGGCTAAACATGCCCTGCCCTGCTCCGTTCCTCATAGGACTTGTTCTCCAGACTTTTGATCATTTTAGTCTCCCTCCTCTGGACACATTCCAGCTTGTCAACATCTTCCTTCAATTTTGGTGCCCAGAATTGGACACGGTATTCATGTGTAGTCTAACCAAGGCAGAATAGAGGGGTAGCATGACTTCCCTGGATCTAGACACTATACTCCTATTGATGCAGGCCAAAATCCCATTGGCTTTTTTTTTTTTTTGGCCACTGCATGACATTTGTTGGCACATGAGCTTATGATGGAGTTCTTCCCACAACTCAGAAAAACTTCCCATCGGCTCTGTCAGGATTTGTTAGGGAAACTTCAGAATCAATCAAAACAAAGGAGCGGGGAGAAGACAGATATCATCTTCTAGACTCAGGAACCGGTATATAACTGGAGAAAACACCCAAAACCATGTGGGATAAGAGCTGTCAAATTTGCCCAGGTTGAATAGCTTCAGTGATGTTCCTGTGGGCAATTCCCTACCAAGCATTGACATTTCTCTCCCAAAATCCTACTTCATGAGCCTGGCATGGTAATTATTTTCATTAATGTAATTATTATTATTATTATTATTATTATTATTTATTTATTTATACCCTGCTACCATCTCCCCAAGGGCCGAGCCCACAATACATCAATAATAAAAGCAATAATGTAATCATTCAAAATACAAAAGTTTCAAAATACGTTAGTTTTTTCTGTCTGTACTGCTAGCTTTTAAAACCTCTGACTTCTGCAATGAGGAGTACTGAGATGGGATAAAAGCCAGTATCCCTGGAGTGCTGTCTAATTGTTCTTTCACACTTCTTTTTCCTGTCTCACCCTCCATGTAAATACAAGTCAGGAAGGCAGTAACTGGCCATCTTTTGCTGAGTCCTTTAAGCTTCACAAATAAGTTCCCCACATTGCAGTACTTTTGCATGAGGAGTTGGGGGCGTAATTAAAAAAACAGAAGGAAAAAGGGAGCAATGAGTTTTGGTAAATTCTTCTGCCTTGAATAAAAGCTTTGCAATGCAAGAGGCACCCCAGCAAAGCCTGCTCTCCCACCTCCCAGCCATACAAGTGCCTAATGGCAACGGGTGAATTCCATTGTGTTGCCATGAACACAAGAAACACTTCAAAGGAGCCTCCTGCTTTTCTCCCTTCACTCCCTCCCTCCCTCCTTCTCTCTCTCTCATTCTCAGAAGTTTTTTTCCCCCAAACTTTTTTTTAATGAAGTGGACAGGAATGGGTGTGATAAATCTGAACATGGATTATTTTGGGAGAAAAGGCAAAAAAGAACATGTGATAAGGAATGATAATCGGAACTATGTGGTTGTAACACTACAGGACTAAATGCCACAGTAATATGACCCCCTCCCCAAATGGGATAAGAACCACAGTCTCAGTTGATCTCCCCCTCACAAGAGGAACTGATTGACCACCAGAATGCACTTGCTTTGTTTGTGCACATGGTTATTTCTTACCAAATAATGTAAAGTGCATTTGCAAGTCCAGGTTGAGTAGCTCTTATCCAAAATGTTTGGTTTTTGACTTTGGATTTTTCTTAATATTTGCTTATATGTAATGAGATATCTTGGAGATAGGACACAAGTCTAAACACAAAATTCATTTATGTTTCATATACACTGTATACAATTAGCCTGAAAGGGGTCTAAAACATTGTTGTTCTTAAGGTAATGCAACTTTGTCATTTTCATAAGGTAACAGAATATTTTGCCCTGTTCAGGTAACTGTTGAAATGCAAACATCAAGTTCCAGTATCATAAAATAAGCCATCTCTATACGTAATCATCTTCCTCTGCAATTCAGTTAATGTTAGCCTTACCAGACAACCACACTGTGGCCCCAGGTGGTGCAGTGGGTTAAACACTTGTGCCAGCAGGACTGAAGACTAACAGGTCAAAGGTTCGAATCCGGGGAGAGCGCAAATGAGCTCCCTCTGTCAGCTCCAGCTCCCCATGTGGCGACATGAGAGAAGCCTCCTACAAGGATGATAAAACACCCAATTCTCTCACACTAGAAGGGACTTGCAGTTTCTCAAGTCACTCCTGACACAAGAAAAAAAACCATACTGTGTTGACGTGGTTAACTTTGCTCAGTCTTGATGGTGTGCATGGTTCATCATACAGCACTGCCTGAAAAAATGAACTGGACCTTAACAGAGGTTTAGTCTCCAACTGAGTCCTAATAAACTTTTTAAAAAAAAATGTCTTGCACCATTAAACATCATTAAACACACCTTTCACTGACCAGGAAAGTAGATATAGTTGGAAGTAATCATTATCCAATAGAGTAATCATTCGATTAAGCTTAGCAGTTGTATATCACCTCTCATCCAGAGACCTTAAAGCACTTCATAAGCGTTAAAACCAAACTAGAGCCTCGGTTCATAAAGTTTACTTAAGAACAGATTTAAACCTATTCCCCATTCAGTGATGTGCTTTAAGCACATCCACTTTCAGGACTAGCCAAAGTTATTGGGAAAGAGTGGTGCTGAATGAAATAGGAAGCCATTGGGGAAAGGTGTGAATTTTCTGGAAGTGGGATCTTTATCCACATAACATAGGGATATAGTCCTTTTGCTTGGGAGATTTAGGGTACAACTAGGTGTGGCAATCAGAAGTTAAAACAAGGCTGGGGCTGAAAATGGCAGCCCTATTTGAAATTCTCTCCATCTCCCATGTCATAGAAGTATTGCATTGTGTGTGTTCTCTGCTGTCTCTTCAGACAACGAATTTCTTCTGGCAGGAACTGTGGAACAAACAGTGCTGTGCAGTCACGATATGGGAAATGCGCTGAGACTGGAACATGATAAGGAGGGGATTGAAAACACAATACCGGGCTGTTTGTAGTTGTACCTTTACCAGACCTGCCAACTGAGATTGTGTTCTGGCTGTAGATGCTGGATATTAAACCTGATCTTTTACTTGCAAAGCATGTAATCTACCATTGAATTATGGTCCTGACAACATTTGTATCTAGTACTGGTGCTCATGAGAGGTTCAAAAGCTTTTTGTGTGTCTGTCTTGTGCTATGCAAGTATTCTCATGGTATTCGGTTACTTCAATATTTTGTGACGTTGGACACATTTACAACCTATTGAACAGGACCCTATTCCAGTTTATGTAATCCTCCTGTCAGGACACGTATGTATGTCAGAAACTCCTATTCATTACATTTGAAGTTATGAACATTCCCAGGAATGTTATCAATTTTATCATCATGATAATTTAAAAAACTGGACAGTGGAGCACAATGTTATGGATCTTACTTACTTCTGGACACGATATCTTGTTGAAGACTTTCATGGCTGAAATCACTGGGTTGTTGTAGGTTTTTCAGGCTATATGGCCATGTTTTAGAAGCATTCTCTCCTGACGTTTCACCTGCATCTTCAGATGTTGTGAGGTCGGATGTCTGCAATAGATACAGGAGAGAATGCTTCTAGAACATGGCCATATAGCCCAAAAAACCTACAACAACCCAATGTCTAAGATTGTACTCTACATTTGGTCCCAATGACACTACTTTAACAGACTTAGTTAAAATTTCCACCTCTTTTAGATGCGTGGTTTCACTCCTTGACCAACAATACTCAAACCACAACAGTAGACAAAACATAAAGGAGAGATTGAATACTTTAAAGTTTTAAGACACACACATGCTCTTGTTGACCTCTGTTGCCTCATGACATTGGTCAGATTTGGTGGCAAGAGCCTATGTTATTTAGGGATCAAGTACATGACATGTATAGAGAATAAAAATGGTATCCTGTTGTTTCTAAGGAGAACATGGGTGACCCAGGTCTGGAGACACTAACTTGCCCAACTAGAGTCATACACCAAAGACCTAAAAGGATGTTGACATGGGTCCTGAATATGCTGCAAGACTTCACAGATTCAAGACTACTGATTCTCTTCTGGAGAGGAATTAGTAAAGGTGGTTACTATAACACAGGGTGTTGTATAGTATGAGGCTATGCTAGTGCCTCCAAATTCTTCACGTCTCTGTTCCACTGAAAAGGGGATTATTTGAAAAACAGAGGATCAGATTCCTGCGATGTCTCCTCACAACATATAAGGATGCCATTGGTTAATCAGCAAATGTTTTTACCAACACCTAAATTTTAGCCTCCATGAAATCCGTGACTTGTTATTTTCCATCAGAAATAATTATCTGTTGCTAGTAAGTATCTTGGGATCTGTATGCAAATTGCTTTTATTTTCTGGGTTCATTGGCGATGCATGTATGCAAAGCTGTTAATTTGACTGAATGTTTTCCTTTCCTCTGGTCATTAAGTTTGCCGCATCTGTGTTTGTTCTATTACCTGTGGCTTTATCCCAGGCAGGACTTATCTGAGCATATGCTGTCATATTTTGGCACTCCATCCATTAAGCTTTGGGTGATAGCTTGACAGAGACTGGCGCATTAGTGTCAAGTCATACATTCAGATCTGTTTGCAACAGGCTGGAGATGGAAGGATTTAAATAGCACGACAGTCTCGGCAGCATACACATTTATATTACATATCTTCGGCAGTACTTCAAAAAAAAGATACGAACTGATCAGTTATCTTGGCAAAAGAATTGGAGTTGCTATTAACGTGACATAAATGTGATTGCAGACCCTGCATGAGATGATAACTCAATTATATTTTCATCCAAACTCATCTGTATACAGTCGTTTAGGGTAGTGGCACTTAGCCAGACAAATGGATGTTACTTATGTCAGGAAGCCAAGAAATGCTAGGGGTCTTTAACAGGCATCCCTCCTGCCATGTATTATACTAGGTCATTTCCACTTTATGATCTAAGTGAGGGGACTGGATGTGGCATTTCAGCACCTCTAATCAACTGGATCCACATCTCGATCTGACCTATCATATTAATGAGTAGCATGATCATCTGTACTTCGAGATAATGCTAGATTTCAACTGCCATAGTTTCACATCATGGGCTACCCTGTGACTGATAGAAGTTCTGGTGATACATTTGCCCACACCTTATCTTTACTGCATTGTAGGGATGATGGGCCTAACACTAACTGTTTGTCTTTGGGATATGGATCTCATTGAAGCATTCTTGCTCTTCTTGGGTTGTTTTAAGAGCATTTTCTCCATGTTGTTGTTGCTTGTAAGCTGCCTTGAAGACAAAAGCTGCCGGTCAACCTCCGAGCACAATTCAATGTGCTGGTCTTGACCTATAAAGCCCTATACAGTTCCGGTCCAACTTACCTGTCTGAACATATCTCCCTCTATGTCCCGCCTCATAGTTTAAGGTCATCTGGGGAGGCCCTGCTCTTCGTCCCACCAGCTTTGCAAATGCGTTTGGGGGGGATGAGGGACAGGGCCTTCTTGACGGTTGCCCCACACCTGTGGAACTCGCTCCCCAGCAAGATTAGATTGGCTTCATCCCTCCTTTCTTTTAGGACAGTGGTTTTAAACCTTTGGGTCCCCAGATGTTTTGGCCTTCAACTCCCAAAAATCCTAACAGCTGGTAAACTGGCTGGGATTTCTGGGAGTCGTAGGCCAAAACACCTGGGGACCCACAGGTTGAAAACCACTGTTTTAGGAAGAAACTTAAGTCATGGTTTTGGGACCAGGTTTTCAGACAGCAGGCATGACAGCACTTTGGATGGAAATCAGACTGGAAATGGCTATATGGTTTGACAATAATGTTTAATCTGTTTTTAACTCAATGTCTTATTTATCATTTTAAAATGTTATAGTTGTTTGTATTGTTTGTATGTTGTGGCATTGAATTGTTGCCAGTGTAAGCCGCCCTGAGTCCCCCATCGGGGGTTGAGAAGGACAGGGTAGAAATGCTGGAAATAATAAAATAATAATAAAAGTGTAAGTCAAATTAACTACAGCAACAACACATGTTTGTTGTGGGCAGACGGAACTGCAGAAGCTGTGAAGCTCAGAGTGAGTGGTTATTTTGTTGTTATTTGCTGTCAAGTCAACTTTGATGTATGATGACTGTATGGCTGATTGACAAGCATCTGGGTGACTAGTCTATGAATAGAAAGACAAGCCTTTGGTCTTATCCAGCAGGTCCCTTCTAAATTTCTTATGAAAATGTTTTATTTATTTATGGGTGGGAAAATATTTTTCCAAGTAAAATAAAAGTATGATTTCAGTTTTCCCAGGAAGCGGGTGCTATTGATCTTTAATGCTGTGATGTTTTCTGATTCCCCTCTGACAGGAGTGAGCAATGCTGAGATACGGCCGACAGGGAAATCACCCAGTTTCAGTGTGAATTGGATAGTGGGCACCTCCGACCTGGAACTTATTAATGCAACAACAGGAAAAAGAAACTGTGGGAGTTCTTCGCGACTTTGCAAGCACATGTTTTACACTCGATGGGCAAAGCTTTATGGGAAGGTAAGGGTGAGTGGCACTTGGAAAGACAAAGCTATATCGGTTGTTAACATACACATTTGCAATGCCGGTCACAAATGTTTCTGAGCAAGATCATATCTTCTGTTGAGAGACATTTCTTATAGCCAATCTCGTACTTTGTCATGGATACCACCATTCAAAACCAATATTTCAAAATGTTACTCATGTGGGCTACAGTTTCAAGCATCCTTCAGCCTACATGGTGACCATATTGGCTAGGGCAGGCATGGGCAAACTTTGGTCCTCCAGGTGGTTTGGACTTTTGCAATTCCTAACAGCTGGTAAATTGGCTGAGATTTATGGTAGTTGAGGTCAAAGACACTGGAGAGCCAAAGTTTGCCCATGCCTGGGCTAGGGGATTATAAGAGCTTTTCTCTTACAAAATCAACTTTTTTAGTTCTGTTTAAATCACATGGGCTAGGCAGGAAGCCTCTAGGCCAGTGGTTCCCAACCTTTAGTCCTCTAGGTGTTTTGGACTTCACCTTCCACAATTCCTAAGAGCTATTAAGCTGGATGGGAATTCTAGGAGTTGAAGTCCAAAACACCTGGAGGACCAAAGGCTGGGAACCACTGCTCTAGGTTATGAGTATTTTTAACAGCCAAGGTAGTTCAACAGTTTTTCAAGTGAGATCAATGGCCTCCAAAAGGCTAAGAACTACTGTCCTGTATTTTAGGTCTAGTTCTTGATAGATTTTGAAATAAAAATTACTCTGAAATCATGTTGCTTGAGCTGGGCCTGGTATAGTATTGTATAATATTTGAAAAACTTTGCTTATCAGATTCACATATGTGGTTATTCACAAAAGTATTATTATGTATGGTAGCATATGCATGTCAATACAAAACACACAGACACCAGATCATTTTAATGTCTTGCATATGTTTCTCTATGGAATGAGATGGATGTTTCTTTCTAATGCACAACATCTACCTTGAAATGAAGGGCATGGAAATGGGATTGTGTATGTGGCACCATTATGGTTGCACATGCTCAATCTCGCCCATCATGTATCCATCTGTCTCTACTGAAATTGGCAGTAGTATTCCCTCAACGGTGCATCCAGTTGCATATTGAACTATGCATGCAGTTGGTTGTGCATTCAGTTATGAAATTGGTTGCACATTTGGTTGCATACTTGGGTTTACATTCAGTTGCTATGACACATAACACAAACATGGAGAGATTTAACTGTGTGTGCAACACTGCTTGCCAGATGTAAAATTTTGGCCACTGATTGCATCCAATCTAAATAGAACATTCTTTTCTAGAAGCTCACAAGTAGCTTTAGGGAAAGTAACAGGAGCAAAGGTCATACCTCTGACCATGCAACGTAACAACAACTTTGTCATGCATATATGGCTGGTGAAAAAAAAGTCATGGGAGAAACATCTCACTGAGGGATGCCAGGTCATTTGCTTGTAAGTGCTAGGTCGGACTTTTGCCTGCTGTGTACGGCATCCCCCAGACTTCTGCTTGCTCTCCAGAAACGTCAAAGGCATTGACGTCTTGGCTTGGTTGTGCTGTGTCTTTGGCAGGTCAAGGGAAGAGGTCATTGATTTAATCCTCCAGCAAAACACAAAAGTTCTTTCTTCTGAGGTGCCCGGGGTGATTATTGGACTGCAGATGCACGTCTTTGTCTTTTAAGCTGGTTTCTGACAGGCAGCTCAGAGGGTTATTTCAGAACATACACATGCTGTTCTCCCATTCAACAAGACAACCTCTCAGTTAGACATGCTGGCAAAGCCTAGATGCTCAATTATTGCCCTCTCTTTTGCATGTTTCCCAGGATCCTCTGTGAATAAGAGATTGGGATGGGGGGAGGCAGGGGCAAGGAGATGGATTCTGTTTGTGCTTCCTCCCAAAGCAGTCACTTGCCTGTATAAAAACTTGAATAACTTCAATTCTTTAACTAGATTCCAATGCATCCTTTTGCTAGATTCCAGTGCATCCTTTGTCTTCTACTGGCTACGATGGAGGCTAATTTATTTATTTACATACTAAATCACCTGTCATTTTAGAATTCCTCAGTGGCTTCTTTACAAAACATAATAAAGCAATATTAAAGCATGAGGGGAATAAACCATCTGATAAAAGGTAATCAGCAGTCACATTAACCAAAGCAGCAGAAATGAGGAAAGGATAATCAGGGCTATTTATTTACCAGGCCATGGCTCTGTGGAAACTAGGCACAACAGAAACCAAATTCTGCTTTGAAATAAAGAGAAATTCTATGCTGAGGCATCCCAGAACCCACTGTCAGCATAGATTGGCTTTATCTATAAGCTCCATTTGCACAAAGAATAGAAGTATAGGTTTTGAAAATCCAATATCAGTATAAGAGGCTTACCAGAAAATAAAACTTGGAAGGCAAGGATTTGGCTTTGCCAACTTGAGAGAGAAAGATGTAAATCACAATATATTAATAGCTTCGCATACCAGTCCAGCAAGAAATGCACAGAAATAAGCTTCCCCATATCTCAGCTTAGTTGAGAGAGGAATCATGGGTGCAGACATGTGCTACGTGCAAGTTCCTCTCAAGTGTCAAGAGCACAATCCAAGTAGTGAGAGATTTGTCTGCCCAGGCCCAGAACAACCATTAACAATAGTAGGAATCATCTTTTTTGTAGGCAAACAGAGGTAGACGAATTCAGTTCTTCACACTGCCCTAAAAATTGACCTGTGCTGTTACCCATAATATAAGTGATGTATTTATTGGTTGGACTGCTTTTCCGCATCCCTGAGCATTAGTCCTATCCAACAAAATTTGGAGGGCTACACAATCCCCAATGTTTAACAATTGTCTCAGCTTTAAGTATTATTACTTTGTTATTTAAATAATGTTTCAAGCCCCAGAACTGATTAGCAGTACCTGAGTTACAGGTATAATGACAAAGAATCAACAAACCAACACAAGTGGTCTGGGACTATAGCAAGAGCGATGAGGATACCTGTGTTTTTCCAAAGTTTTGAAAGTTTTGAAAATATACACATGGACAGACAAAGGCTGAGATCATGGAATACACTATCTCTCTCCTCTCAACACCTTCTTAGACATTCCTTTCAACATTTACCTGCTGCAGCTTCTTGCATGGCCATTCATTGGATTGTGAAGAGTGGGAAATCATAGAGGTATATTTCTGCATTCCCATATCCAAGAAAAAGACAAATAACTTCATCTGCTGAAATCCATTTAAGTCCTCTGGTCTTTGTTCAGCTAAAAGGACATAGCCAAATGCTTTCCTTTTTCTTCCTTCTCTCCACCAGCCATTGAATCGCCATAAATAGGAATTGAAGGAGCCAACAGTATGTTGGGCTAACAACTTGATCACATTCACCAAATTCATCATCCTAGGATGCTTCCAGCCTGTTTTGGGGATGGAGCCCCACGTTGGCCATCACACATCATGTGACCTCTGGTGGAAGCCCTGCCTCCAACCGGAGTGGAAGCATCATTGGACGATGCTTCCCACATGTGATGGGGAAAGTTCAATCGAAAGGGAGCTGTATGCGGGGCAACAGATTCACCCCGCTGCCCCTCTGTTTCCTCTGCAAGGCCTTTGTTATAAGGTTGTTAAACTAACATGTGTCACTAACAGGATGCCAGTCATATGAAGTTTGGAGAAACTGTTGACTTTTAAACAGAGTGTCAATATATTTCATATTACATTAGATAGCACATCAGCACACCAACCCGACCTTCCTCCAAGTGGTGTGCAATTTGTTTTAATTTGTTGTATTGGTTCTCCAAAATACCCTTGCATTCAGAACATAATTCCTGTACAGTGGAAACCGTATCATGTCAAATTTCTCTTTGTAGAATGCTGTTGCTAAAATCAGAATCAAATACATAGTCCTATAAAAATGCAGGTGTAACTATTTTGTGCAGCTGTAGAAAAACCTGTTGTTCTACTCTTCTTTCATTTACATTTCTGGGTTTTCCCTTTATCTCTCCCCCCCCCCCCCCCCTTTCCACACATCTCTCTTGCAGCTGAGCACACGGATACTAAGCCATGGAGATGTGCCATCAGTGTACAGTGAGGCCAAGTTGGTGGCACATACGTACCAGTCCGTCAAGCAGCAGCTGTTCAAAGCATTTCAGAAAGCCGGCCTGGGCACTTGGGTGAAAAAACCCCCAGAGCAAGATCAGTTCCTACTAACTGTGTGAATCATCCATCACCTCTGTGACATGACCCCATCAAATTGACTGGAGAGAGAAGGGCAGGTACGCAGCAGGAGCCGAGAGCGTGATGGATGCAGTCTGAGACTTACCTCCAGGAGAAGTATCTCTACTCAGTTTAGAATCCTGTAATGGAAAATGCGTTAAGTATAAGATGTGTTCTGATTAATGCACTGAACTTGACTTTAGGAAACCGCTTTTCCATGCCCATCCCTTCTCAAGGATGTACAAGCCCAGGTTACAAAAATGACCTTCACTGTTTGTTCTTCGTTTGTAGCACATTATACATTGCTGTAATTATTCCGGTGACATTTGTCACTTGGGCAACAGCAGGTCCTGCTTCTGGCTAAAAACAGAAAACAGGGGTGGGGAAACCCCACTTGTATTCTCCTTCATTGTTGTGCAATAATTATCCTTGGTGGGTGAGGCATTTTTCTGGGTAGTAAAGACATGCAGGCACTTTTGGAGCCAGTGTGCTCCAAAATCTAAAAGCTCAGTCTGTGTGTGTAAAAGACGGGGGGGTTGCAGGCTATAGTCCTATGATTACACCAGAAAACACTTGTTGCAAATAAGAACACTCTGAAGTAAAAGCTGCTGCCCACATGTATGTATTAAGAGTTTGGAGGCACTTTCTACTGAGCAGCATATTTTAAAAATTAGCAAATAAAATGTTGGTTGTACCAAGTACTGGTAAGATATAGTTCCAGGATTGATTGTAGTACATGGTGGCTATCTACAGTCTCATCCACTGTTGAGCTTCCACAATCTAAAACTTGGGAAACAAACAACAAGCGACAATTGTAAACCTCACCTAACATAAGACCAAAATAAATAAATAAAAGCACACAGCATCACTGAAAGTTACAAACTTACAAAGCACCTGTTGCACAACATAAAGCACCAGATCAATTGCACAAAGAATCCTATCTTTGTCCCCTGACCTTTGGGCATGCTCAGTATTAAGACCATTGGAGTGTAGCCAACCATAACCGTAAATGAATAACCTCTTTGCACCAAAAAGAGACAATGATGGCTTCATTCTTTCTCACGACCCAGGCATACAGAAGACATTTGCAGTTCTGGAAAGGAAAGAGAAAGACAGAGGGTATTTTTTTATGAGGACAACAGATTAGGTGGATGTCATTGCACGCAGGCCGATTTTGAAAATGCATATAGTAGAAGTCCTGAACTAAAGTATACTAAATAGTTAAACAATATCCCATTGTGTACAACTAAATACTAGACTAAAAGGATACTGAACAGACTTCCAATCAGGAAGCTGCTGAATGAAGACTTTCTTTCAATGTTCAGGTAGTAAAGCCATTTAACACCACCACTGCAATTCTCATTTAACTATTGAGTTTGGGCTGGTCATTGCAAAAATTGAAACTAGTAAAATCTGAAGGTAGAATATATTTTGTAGGTCCAGAAATCTGCTGGGTTGGCAATGAGCAGCGAGGAAGAAAATAGTTAATTGTTAGAACATCCCTTTTCTCTACTGTTTGAATAGATAGAAACAACTCCAAAGCCTCTCCAGTGTGAAGCCTGAAGCAAGGAAATTTTCCAGCCTTTTCTTTGACTTCCAGGAGGGAAATAATGAACTATTCATTGACCTCTCAACAGGTTTGGGTAGCACATGAGCTAAAATCTTGTTGGGGCACAAGCTTTCATGAAAAGCATGGTGCAAGACATTACACTTGCTCAAAGGTGTCATAAGAGCACCCCCTGGCACAGACATCTGTTCCACAAAAGCACACACATAACTTTTCCTCTTCCTTTCAACTTGGTGGTTGAGGAATTATTCAACTGTTGCCCAAGCAATTGGTTGTGCAACCATGGGATCTGGTGTAACTCCACTGACATATATTTACACTATGCTAAAAGCTTATAGATCCGGGCCTTAGAATTGTCAAGATAAGTTTAGCTACATCAGAATAAGTGATCTGCACATTCTTTCTCTCTCCTGCATGTTCCGTACTCCCAAAATTCACCTTCCTAGTGATCTCTGCTTGCCCAGATCTCAATTTTTTTTAAGCAAAGCTGTTCCTGCCTCTATAAAAGTGTGTAGCCAATGCCCACTAAAATGTAAGAAACCAGACAAAGAAGGTGGGACCACACAGCTGTGACGTTTGTTCCAGATGCACAATAATTTATGCAAAATAAATATGCAGTGTCCTATTAAGAGCTGGAATTGAAGCATCCCTGTGGATCCATTCTCGTGGAGCACAGCTGCTTGTGAATCACGCCTTCCTGGGAGACATCCACAGCCTCCCGATTCCCATGATAGTGCTGCTGACTGATGGCTGCATATGCAGTTCTTTCTCCACGTGACTACATCCATGGGGCAGTTGGAGTGCACCATCTGGAGCTCTTTTCTAACATGTGAAACAGCCCTGGACGATTCCCATCGGTCAAGAAATAACAGTGTGGAGAGTTTTTGTAATGAGCTCTTCAGTTGTTCATGCAATTGAAAATTGCCACTTAGGATCCCCAAAGAGAAAAGTTATAAAACTCTAAGCAATTTAGAATTAACCTCTACCCAAACCTTTGTCTAGCTTTGTTCAGAACTTTGAAAACCTCCTTCTTGGAGGAGACTGCAACTCTCAGAATGCTCCCAAATGGCATGGCCAATCACTATGGCACCTGGGCCATCTGAATGTTGTAGCCTCCAAAAAAGGAACTTCTTCAAGCTCTCATTTCACTTTGTTTTTCAAATGACAGGATTTGCGGGTATAGAACTACTGTTTTCTTTTTAAACTTGTAGTTTGAATGAAATATGTATATATTATCATGCTGCTCCTGATCTGTGATCCTCTCGGTGTTTCTGGTTAGAGCTGTTCAACTGAGTTACACACACAAAGCACACACAAAAACCCTCATCCCCTCACTACACACTCACTGCCTCTCCCATAGAAGCTCCCTTTCTTGCCAGTAAAGTTAGACGCTCTTATATAAGGTTTGGAGAGCCATATTCAGTAAATACATTTGTTTATTGATGCCCACACAATAGGAATAGTTACAGTATTTTGATGATTTTTCTTATTTTTTAGATTAAACTGCAAGATGTATCTATACTATAGTGTCTTGTACAAAGGAGATTATTGTGATAAACTAGAATTTTTAAATTAGAATGGAAAAAAAAACAACTCCCCCTCCCCTTTACTGAAATGTTTCCAGTAAACAATACATTCCATTATTAACTACCAAATAAGAAAAAGTTCCTTAGACTAGAAATAGTGAAAGACCAGAATTTGCTTCAACAAGTTAGGAATGGCAAATATTTTAGGGTAGCACGAGTTTAATTTCTAAAATGAGCTATGCCAGGTCTTACGTCTTCAGAGGGTAATGTGAATCATTCCATTCCTTATTCGAAGATGTGGAATTTTGGCGTAATGGGGAGATAATGATTTGGGCAGAATCCAGAGAAATAAGATTCCATTAAACATTGTTTAACTGAATGAAATCTCACTATATAACTTCTGCCTTATGCAGTCCAATCCTATGCTTGTTTAGCTGGAAGTATTTGCCACTGACTGCATTGGTGGAGCCCCCAGTGGCACAGTGAGTTAAACCCTTGTGCTGACAGGACTGACGACCGACAGGTCGGAGGTTCGGATCTGGGAAGAGCACGAATGAGCTCCCTCTGTCAGCTTCAGCTCCCCGTGCAGGGACATGAGAGAAGCCTCCCACAAGGATAAAACATCAAAACATCCGGGCATCCCCTGGCAGCAACCTCGCAGATGGCCAGTTCTCTCACACCAGAAGCAACTTGCAGTTTCTCAAGTCACTCCTGACACACAAAAAACTGCATTGGTGTTTACTCCAAAGTAAAGGCAAACAGGGTTGCAGACTAAATCCCACTGATTTCAAGGGCATCATAAAGAGACAGTCTACGTGTTTTTAAATGATACATGGTTCCAAATGCATGTAGATCAGTGGTTCTCAACCTGTGGGTCCTCAGGACCTTCAACTCCCAGAAATCATAACAACTAGTAAACTGCCTGGGATTTCTAGGAACTGTAGGCCAAAACACCTGGGGACCCACAGATTGAGAACCACTGATGTAAATGGTCACATGTTTGATTGTTCCTTCACTTTCCCACTTGTTGCAAAACAAAACAATTGCTTGCACATTCTCAAAGATTCAAATTGTCCAAATACTAGATTTTCATTTATTATACAGGAGAAGCATTCAGACCCATCACAATTATATGTTTCAGTCCAAAGCAGGTCTTGAACATATAGACCAATGGTTCTCAACCTGTGGGTCCCCAAGTGTTTTGGCCTACAACTCCCAGAAATCCCAGCTAGTTTACCAGCTGTTAGGATTTCTGGGAGTTGAAGGCCAAAACATCTAGGGACCCAGAGGTTGAGAACCACTGATACAGACTGATATAGACCATCTCTGGAACATCCAGTCTGGTGGATCCTTTGACCAGAGAATTCTGTCTGGATTAGACACTGAGAAACCATTGATCAGATACAATTATCTTAGCCTAGCCTAACTCACAAAGTCAACGTGAGGATAAAATGGTGGGTCGACATGTTGGAGCTCCATGGAGAAAAATTCAAATCTGCTTGTAGACCACATTAAAGCTTCATTTACAGTGTGATTTTTCCAAACTGCTCTTTTAACAAACTGTATGCTTCCCTTCCAGACAACTGCTAATCCTCATGGCCACTTGAAGTGGTGTTAAATTTCTTAGAGAGAGGCAGAGGTGAGAACAAGGGCTGCCTCTCATCTCTGATACAGTTCACTAAAAGAGACAAAGTGGAAGGACAACTCCCATTCCCCTGCCTCTCTCTAAGGAATTACAAGGGGGAAGGGAGGCAGTCCTCCCTGTTCAGTAACTTTCCCTTTCTTGCCCCCTTCCCTCTCCAATACATTAGGAGTCCCACCTAGCTTGGCAGCGGACAAAGGTACATGAATGAGAACTATCTCATTAAAAGCATTTCAGCCAATACCCTTTTGGAACCAAGTCATAAACAGTTTCCTTCCTTGAATAAAAAATACATTGGATAATTGACTGAAATATAAAATAGGTACACTAATTCAATTATAATAAATATAAGATCTAGATCGTATTTTTCAATTATAACTAGACCAATTAAATCAAATTTTGTGTGATGATTCAACACATAGGTAAACTGCATACTGTTGTTAAGATGAACAACAGGATTGGGGTCAGAGAGTTCTTTATATTTTCCAACACATAGCACATGAAGAAGATCCATGATTGTCTCCTTTCCCCCATTGAAATCCTGATATTTCTTCTTATGCTTCCTTTCGTAAAAGATTACTTTAAAAGTGGGGAGGGGTTGGCTCCCTTCTTCTAAAAGGAGAGTTTTGGTGAGCACAGGAGCATACTCTCCAAGCGTCCCAATTTGGCAGGGACCGTCCCAATTAATCATCTGTCATTCCATTTTTAATTCATCTGTCATTCTGTGGAATCCCATTTGTTCCCAGTAAAGACAATGCAAGCAACAAATATAAGTAACAGTTCACCTGTTCGGAGCTTGGGAAAGTTCTGGCTGTGGCATTACATGAGTTGTAGTCCACAAAAGTGGCTTTTCCAGGTTTCGGGTTTTTCTGCCTCTCACTGAACTCCTTGGAGGACATATATGTTGCTGGTTGGTTGTTTTTTTTTTTTTCAGAGTCTGAGTCTATCCCAGGGCTCATTTTCCCAGGCAATGTCTTGACATGTCCCAATTCCCAGCTCCACAGCCACATTTCCTGAAGCACAGGAGAGCGACAACTCAGTCGGAATTCTATAAAGGGAAGACAATGTACATAGCGAGCATGAGTGAATGGCAATACTGTACGAATGGATGTACATTTGTAAGATTTGTACAAACAGAAGAACAAAAACAATCTGAATTTACAGGTGTGAATTTGCTGCTAAGTTCTGTAAATTGCACTTCAGTGATACCTGATAAGTGAATGTTTCTGTTATAAGTGAATAAAATGCCAAGAGGAATAAAAAATATGAACAAATATCCTGTGCTTTTCTTTGATTGTTTCCTGAGCTTTACTTACTCTGACTTCAAACTAAGAGGAATTCTTCACTTCATCATCAAATGGAGATGAGAAGGAAAATATCAGTAGAGTGTGAAAAGTGAAGGAATAAGAGGCAGGTATCAAACAGTTTAACAGGAAAGAGATGTAGAGTCTCATGCTAGCAGGTTTAACTTACCTTTCTCTTGTCTTCCCCCAAAACATTTACAATCACAGAGCCATTTCCACAGCCAGAAATGCCCATAAAACCCACTTAAAATTCAAGCTAGTCTCATGCATTCGTATGGAATCGCTGTCCGGTTCTGTTTGTCCCATTTGTATGGCCCCATTTCCGTCCACTACTTGTGAAAACAAGCACCTATACAAATGAGCTTTTTGGCCCAAGGTCCGAAAAAAATGACACTTGTACCCCCGACTGGTGGGGGCTAAAGCTGGGCACCAGGCATGCATTGTAATTGGCTGTGGTTGGCTGTAGGCCCTACCAGCCGGGCCTATGAGTGTCAAGCGCTCATCTGAGTGCGCTGAGCAGCCAGCGCACCAAAAATCAGTCCAAAAATTGGCTACCATTCCCCAACCCCCATTTTTTTTGTTTCACTGATGTTTCTGTTCCCAAGGGGGTTGTACCATTCTGTGCCATCTGAATAGATGGAATGGTACAACAATGCCATCGGAGAGCCTTCACCTTGGCACAATGCCATGCACTTCCTCCTGCTGTACTGGAAGGTCATTACCAGAAGACCCTATACTCTGAGAGTAGGTCCCTGTGACTCAGGTCACATAGAAACAACAAAGCATGTGCTTCTGCAGTGCCTGTTTTATAGAGACATTCGATCTCGTCTCATCTCGTCATGGACAATTAAATACCCAGCACACTCTGGACACTTCTACATAGCCCTGCTGCTCTCAGACACAAACTTGGCTGTGACGTACAACATCACTAAGTTCTGCACGGCTGCGATTAAAAGCCGGTGGACAATGATTGAGGGTCAAAAGTCCTAAACTTCACCTCTGGAATATAGATGGGAAATCAGATATAGACTGATATTTATAGTGTTGGATATTCCCCCCTCCCTGGTGCCATCCCTATTACCTCTCTTTAGACTGCCTTTGGATGATCTCGTGGGTTGAGTTGGTTTTTAATAACTACTTGTATGTAGTTTTTAACTTAGATTTTTAAATTTATTGAAGTTTGAAGTATATAACCCGTTGGGTTTGATGTGGATGTGTGGGAGTGGGTCCCCCTGTTATGATCTGGTCATCGACCATAATAAAATTTACTTACTTACTTACTAAATAAATAAACAAATGAAATGGTAACTGGACCCATGACTAATCCAAGCAGCCATATCAAGGACTGGAGTTCTGCAGCATGGGAGGGAAACAATTTTCAGTGTCAACAAACAAATTTTTAGATTTTAAGATGATTTTTGAGGTTAGAGCTAGATCAGGAAATGAAGCAAATCTTTATCATGGCTATGTATTCAATGCAGGATCTCCACCATTAGTTTTCAGTTATTAGGATTTCTTATCCCAAATAGTTCACTGAATATTCAGAAGCAGAAACTATACATACATACACACACACACACACATACATATATGAGTGAGAACACTCTTAGGAGGCTTTCATTAAGTCTCACTTCAGTTGCTTGGTACAAATTTGCTGCAGGCTGAAATCAAACATATCCACGCCTGGTGAGGAGAGGGCAGCAGAAGACCTGGGGTGAAATTCTGTATATTTTTTACACCTTCAAACTTTGCCATACATTGGCAAAGAGGAAGCCCAGGCCGTTTTTAATTATAGAGATGTATTGATTGGTGAGTTCAGGCGGTGTGTGTGTGGCTTCTGCTTTGCCACAATGCCTTTTTCTTTTACTAAGAAGGCAGTTCCTTTCTTAAGAAAATCCTAATGCCTTTAAATAACCACAGAGGAATTATATATTTTTCTCTGAGCTGCTCTCCTCTACAATAGTGGTTTTAAAAATGAGGAAAGACTTGGAGATAACACATTCTTTACATTCTCTTGTTAATTTCTTTTTTCCCAAGCTCATTTAAGAAAATGCTAAGAAAATGGCCAGAGATGTGGTGTGATGATAATAATAATAATAATAATAATAATAATAATAATAATAATCAACTTTATTTATTGTGCTGGTACGGCTGTACCAAAAGCTCCAACTTCCTTTTCTTTCTTTGAGTGTTTGCATGTATTCCAAAGTTCCATGCATTTTGCAATAAGGTGGCTTCCCTTGGTTTGCAATTATAGGGCCAATGACCCATCAATCATTGTTAAGTTTTGGTTCCGCCCCTTTCCCCAGGGCTCTGGGAGGAGAGAGAGCCTTTTTAGGCTAGTCTTGCATTGGAAAGCTTAGCTACAGGACGTGGATTAGCTCCACCTGTAGAGAAGCTTCATTTCTCACAGCATCTGGGGGAAAAACAGTTCCAAAGGACTCCAGCTGTAGAATCTACAAAGCCTTGACTGGTAGGTCTACTCGGGACCCAAGAAGCAGTTTGGAGCCGGGAGTAGAGCCCACACCAGCAAAGTTTAGAAAGTAGATTGCCCAAGGAGGGGTTAAAAAGGGTTCTCCTCTTAAAGAAAAGAAACAGTTCACGAAGCCAGTTGCCTGTCCCTTGTAGACAAGATTAAGAAAGCCACCAGTTGATTCAAAGCCTTGAAGCATTTGTTTAATTTGTTGAAGATCTAAGAAGTATTTGATTGTTTGTTGAAGACTTAAGCAATAATAAAGGACTTTGTTAAACCTTTCAAGCTTCTAAAGACTCTGTATAGGAAAATCCTTAGGCCTCTCACTTGAGGCACCCTGGCTTCCCGCTGGGCACAAAGAGCACGTCCTGTTCAAAAGCCAATTGCTATAGGCCCAGCGGGTGACAGCACACCCCGCCACCATCTCCCCAAGGGGACTCAGGGTGGCTTACATGAGGCCACACCCATCAATACAGTGTACACAATCTAACACAAAAACACAACAGAAAATTTTTAAAAATCTAAAATACAAAACAATGTATATAAGCGACACATAAAAAGTCAAAACATTATGACATTTCGTTACGACATTAAAAATAAACTCATTAAAGATGATACACGCCCTGTAAACATGTGTGCATGTGTACCCACTGCTGAAAAGGAAATTTCATATTCTTACTTCTGGCGTGCATAGTTTTTAGACCATTAAGAGATACCAACAGGGCCAGCCCTACTGTTAGGTACAGTGAAGCAACTTCCTAAGGAAGAAGATTTTGACTGTCATGAAATATAATGGCAGCATTTGGTTCCCATTTTACTGGGATGGTAATATAAACTTGGGTTGTTGTAGGTTTTTCCGGGCTATATGGCCATGTTTTGGAGGCAATTTTTCTCCTGATGTTTCGCCTGCATCTATGGCAAGCATCCTCAGAGGTAGTGAGGTCTGTTGGAAGTAGGAAAATGGATGCTTGCCATAGATGCAGGCGAAACGTCAGGAGAAAAATTGCCTCCAGAACATGGCCATATAGCCCGGAAAAACCTACAACAACCCAGTGATTCTGGCCATGAAAGCCTTCGACAATATGAACTTGAACGAAGATGTCTGTGATATGGAAGCCCTTTATGTGGAATGGGATTCAACATCATGTATAGGTCCTTTGGGTTTGGAATCATGCTCACAATGGATTTTTTCCTTGCTCATGTGGGAGATGCCACCCATTACTGATGAAAAGGCAATAAATTGTTAGTTAATGAATATGTTGTTATTGTAGTTTACTAGTGTGGTGGAGATGCACTTGTGGGAATTTCTGCCCCATCTTCCAAAATAACTTGATCTTCTGTATTATGCACCGTGACCCAGGCAGTGAAAGCACCATTCTAACCAACTTTAAGCCAACTCTAATGAGAAAATGACATAGTTTACTAAAATGACTTCCATGTAGAAAGTAGGGTGTGAAGCAGGATGACTCAATCCTTTAAGGATAATGGCTGGCCTTCTGTATTGTAGTAACCAATCTGTAAACTAGAGTTACAGATCTATAACTACTCTCTTCAGTAACACTATGGCGCCATGATCATGGCACTATTGTCACAATCATAAATGCCCCTAAACACCACCTTAACAGCCAGCAGCCACATTGAGTGATAGATATTGGAACTGACATGGTTGTTTTTGAGATGCTTTTAAACAATTGATTTTAAAGTATATATAACTGATTTTAAAGTTTGTGCATATTTATAGTTTATTTTATGTTCCGGCATTGAGTGTTTGCCGTACCTATGTTGTGCTTTGCCCTGAGTCCCCTACAGGGTGAGAAGGGCGAAATATAAATGTTTTAAATAAATAAATAAATACTAAAATGGGAATTAAGGTACAAGGAGAAACATCATCTTCCTTTTATTTCTTTTTTCCCTATCACTCAATGAGGCTGCTGGCTGTTAAAGTAGTCTCAGAGGGTCAGACCAGGAGATATTATATTATGCCTTCCTTCCTTCCTTCCTTAGGCAATCCCTCGTAGCCCGGGGATGATGGTCTTCCAAGTCTGGTATCTTGGCAATGGGTTCATAGGTGGCTGTGAAGCCCTATTCTTGATCCGCATGTTCTGCCTCAGTAAGAAAGTGCTCTTGGTCAGGGCTGGCTTGATGTGCCTTCCTCTTGGCATATTTCTCCCTTTCCCCTTCCATTTGTGCCTCTTCAAATTCTGCAGCACTGGTGGTCACAACCGACTTCCAGTTAGAGTGCTCAAGAGCCAGGGCTTCCCAGTTCTCAGAGTCTATGCCACAGTTTTTAAAGTTGGCTTTAGGTCCACCTTTAATCCCTTTTTCCTTTCCACCAATGTTAAGTTTCCCATTCTTGAGTTGGGAGTAGAGTAACTGCTTTGGGGGAGGGTGATTGGGCTTTCGGACAACGTGGCCAGTCCAGCGGAGTTGATGGCAGAGGAGCACTGCTTCAGTGCTGGTGGTCTTTGCTTCTTCCAGCACACTGACATTTGTACAC